AAGGTTCAAATACCAGTGAAGTTGACCATACTGAGCCTCTTCGATTCCCTAGAGTCAAATCCATATAGTCTTCCTTTGGCCTGAGCCATCGATACGTATATGAAACGCAATTATTTTTTGCTCGAAATATTGTCCGCTAGAAGTCCTGTTTCGATTACTATCAATATAAGAGAAAAAGGACTGATATATAACAGTGAATTAAGTATTATCGTGACTATTCATAGTCATGTTCAATGTTCAATTTCAACAGAACCCTTTAGAAGATTAGAGAGAGCCGCAGTGACTGTCGTTTGTTTTGGCTGATTTCCGGACCAGATATTATAGCAGTATAGCGCTATTGCAGTAGTTGGTAAAAAAAAAAAAATAAGTTCTGTCTATCTAAGGCTCTAAGAATGCATCATTGTTAAGTGACATTTCCCTTACGATGACCTTCGGCCTGTCACTTGATTGCAATAGCGGTGACGACCTGAGCGAATTGACCATCACTTTAGCTTACAGTTGCGTTCTTCATAGAGTGTTCTCTCTCTCACACTACAAAACGCGGATGACGTAACGAACTTATAACTGTATGAGCAATGAAGTTGGTAGCCGGTGCCACTCTGCTTGTTACTGACGTTCCTTCGGTCAAGCACATTCTTGTTGGCGTCAAGTTTGCGTTAACTGATCAACGTGTTTTTTTTTCCTTATTATTAATTACGACACTTATTGAAATGCCTTCTGCTTTTCTCAGAAAAATAACTGAACTAACAGAAAGCTCTAGAATATCTCGTTTTAACATAAAAGTGGCAGTTTTCGCCAGGGACCATAGACGCTAACCCAGCGATTAAATTAAGCTTTGATGGAAATGACGCGATCATTAGTCAAATCTGGGAGCTTTCCGAAACTTTGCATTTTATAGTTATATAGAAAACTGCCATTGTTATTGTGTATTCGTATTTATGTTTAAAGCATTCGTTATTTGATTATGGTATATGAGTTTCATTTACGTCGATGTGACTGACGAGATTTAGAAGCCGGGGCATATAAAGCTGGACAACGTTTTTGTTTTCTGTTAGTAGATTCTGTCAAGTTTTGCTTTGATTTAAATGAGAGAGAGAGAGAGAGAGAGAGAGAGCGGACAAGGACGAGTAAAGAAAAGTTGAAAACGCCACTTTTTCGTTTTATCGATCATATTGTTTTTCAGAAGATCTGATCGATTCGTGCTAGATAACGAGACAATCGAGCTCCGGGGCGCAGCGGGCTCAGATCGACCTTTTCGAATTTGAATGGGGTAACTGACGACGGTCGGATGTGGCAATGACCGATCAAAGAATAGATCGATACATCGAGAAGAAGAAGACTTACTTTACGGTCTGATCAGCAGCTGTTAAGGATGTAGCGCTTGTAGTTCGCTGGTCGAACTGCGAGGGGTCGTGGATGCCGCCACTGTGCCGATAACGCAATGGTAGTATCAACATCAGCGCCAGCAGCGGTGGCAGCGCCAGTTGAAGCAGAAACGCATTTCGAATCGTGACCACCGTCATCATAGCGTCAGCATCATCAAGAGCAGCAGCAGCAGCAGCAGCAGCAACAGCAGCAGCAGCAGCAGCAGCAGCAGCAGCAGCAGCAGCAGTAGCAGCAGCAGCAGCAGGAGCAGGAGCAGCAGGGCGTCCAGGTTTGTTCAGGAACGGAACGAACAGCGGACGCGAAAACGAAATCACCAGAAGGAGCAACAATGATTTTCGTCTATCGAATTATTTTTCCGAATATCTTGTCGTCAAATAGTCAACGAAGAAGGACAACGGGCATTCGTGGGGCTAGGAGAAGAGTAAGAAGGTGAACGAGCCAAAGGGATTATACTGGTCACAACAAATACTGAATAGTTGAATGAGGTTAGATGAATGAACGCGTCAGGATAAAAAAGTAGGTATTAGCCAAAACGAAATTAGAGGCAAATACTAAAGGGTCTAAACAAGGGATACTTAGCTACAGGATAAAAGGGTCAGAATATGTCATATACCAGGATTCACGATTGAAAAGGTTCAGATATTAAATAATCGCAAAATGAGAAGGTCACGAATATAACGATAAACAAACGGGGATACTGATCTTGCTGTGGCTTACATTATATACACATATGTAGATATTGATAGCAGTGAGAGGTATATGAGTGTCACTCCAGCTATCAGTACTGGAATAGATAAGGTTAAAGGTATTGTGGACAATTGGAGATAACGCTGAAATTGATACGGCGATTTGTTTTCAACTGCTTTTCGAAATCATCCATTGCATAACACAAACTAGCGGAACCTGAAGAAGGCCTGAAACTCGTGTTCTAGTCGTCGTGGCAGCAGAAGCTTCGGTGAAAAGTTCAAGTCGCGCATGAGAACATTTCTATATGTACACATGTGGAACGCGCGAGTATAGTGCATGAGACCAATCTAGCCACGCAGAGAGGACGAAGTAAAGAGATAGATTGATATGTTTATCCAACAAGCACTACTATTACGCCTCTGTTATGATTTTTAAGAATCACCACTCAAAATATCTGTTGCCATGGTCATTCGCAAGCGAAAAAATCAAAATAGAGAGTGTGAGCTCATACGATGTATCATTGTAGCTCCTGAGAAGTAAATGCTGTGGCCCGAAGGACCAGAACAGGGCTGTAAATATGCACGTTAATGCATCCTGCAAGAGAAAAACATCGATCAAAATAAGAACATGCACTGAACATAACCGTAAATTGCTCTGTATTATTTTTCTATTATATGCATTCGTAAATAACCTCGTGCCAACATGACAACGATCGTAAAATAGCACATGCACGAACACTGATATTTAGATAATTATATTCTACTGATTAACTTGTTCACAGTAATTAGCTTCGTACATTTATCACTATACACAGCACCGCCCCTAGATAATTGAACAAAACGCTCACGTCCACTTTATTGCGGGCATAAATGTCGATACAGCCTCTGTTGTACACAAATACCCACCAAAAATGTCCAGGAGAGTCATATATTTGACGCGTTTCATAAGAGTGCTAGTAATACAGAATAACGGCCTGGTGCCTAAAACTTTGCAAATACACAGAAACATAGCTACGCGCGAATATAGTATAATAAATAGGAGAAAGATACTGCGTGAACACAGGTAAATTATTATATATTCAGATGTGTATGTTCTCATTGGCAACCACTGTGCATTATATAGCTTTAGAAAATACCTACACATACACGGTTAGGCCAACGATAAGGTCCTGCAGATTGTGAAAACTATTTAATTTATGAAAGATACGTTCTTACAACGGCTATCAGCATCCTTAGGCTATGTAGAGCAGTCATTTGAGGAAGGAGTTAGCTTTGCATTACCTTTTCGATGGGTAAAACAGTAACCTGGAGTTTCCACGACTATCGGTTTCTAGAGTCCATCGGTCTTCCTGTTTATTTGTACTAAATCAAATCAAAGTGACCCATTTGTCTACTTGCGTTAAACATACAAATAAAATGAAGCGTCTTCAAGTTGATGTTGTGCCAATGGTATGATATTAATCATATTCCGCAAAACGTAGGATTTTGTGATTGTTACACATACACCCAAAAAAAATATGAAAATACGAGGATGACCGAATCACTGCAGCAGTGATTTTTTGAAACGTTATTTTAACACAATTGGTAACTTTGCCTCCACCTTAGACGTCAGTAAGCATGAATAATAGGGTCCCTGTAGCGTTGAGAGGTGGTCGATTCGCATGGTAGAGTAACTACTTTATACCTCTACATTTAAGTAATTATACTATATCGAAGTCGAAAGGTCAGGAACGTTTCAGAGAGACTCCCTGGGAAACTGAAAATATAAAAATATTTGATCTACCAAATACCACTGAGTGGTACGATCATTCCTCTCTCAGGCTCTCATTTAAAAGACGCATAAGGAAAAATTCCGAATGTTGATCCTAAATATTTGGTTTAAATTACTGGCTCTCGTTTTGTCACTTGCCTTTCCACCACTATTTATGTTTTCTGCTATTTTTTTTTATCGTTTATCGGATAGCTACAATGATCGATGGTAGACAAGTGGCTGGAAGTGGTAGTTATAATACTGATCTCACAACTATTGTTATTGTGATCAGAGACGTATGTCGGACAAGTAAACTTTTATCGGCCGATAGCGGCCAGTCAGTTGATGTGGCCTTCGCCGATTATTGTACTGTCAATTGGTCCTGTAACTGTTGCCCCGCCCACTTCTCGCCGGCCGATCCATAATTTCATACAAAACAGTTGATCGATGGTAGTGTTTCATTTATCTCGATGTTGCAACCCCTTGTTATCCAAAACCGCTTGATGAGTCCGACAGATGTCAACCATTGTTCCACTCTTTACCTTCATGTTAACCATAGTTTGAATTGAAAGATTCCATAAAAAGTGAGTATTTATAGTTGATGTATGCACCACCCAACAAACGATCTTGTTGACTGGGTTAACGAGATTAGCCTACTGTGTGCCGACCATAATTACGTACGTCAGTAGTGCACGTGGCACAGACCAAAGTTGGAAACAAGGTTTAGGTAAACCTACTTTTGGAAAAACGAGATTAACTTGCTGGTCTCATGACATTGACGGAGTTTATGACACACGCTTGAGAGTTACGCGACTTTGTAAACCATGTATACACTATGGACGCCGCTAGTCTTACGAAAAAAAGCGATTTGAACGGGGCAAAAGGCAGGATCACAGAAGTCTAAAAAGGAATTGGAAGGAGAACTGTTTTAGTCGTACCAAAAGCGAGGTAGCCTGTAGAGAATCGTATGATGAGTAAACGGCGTTGGGAGACTTGATCGATAATCGAACACAGTTTGATGGCGCTAGGGCTGGGTGTATATCTACTTGTGAGCGTGTGTGGGTGGCTGTGTGTGCGTGTGCGTGTGTATGTGTGTGCGTGTGCGTGTGTGTGTGTGCGTGTGCGTGTGTGTGTGTGGGGGGGGGGGGGGGTATTCAAGCGAGTATGATTCGGTCGGTTACACGCTTCCCTACAGATAGCCCTGCTAATACTGCATGCAACCATTTACTAGCGTTTGGCTTATCTTAGCTTTGCGTACGAAACCATGCCCCTCAGTTGCACGCCCACCGGCCAGCCGGACAGCTCGTACGCAACCCCAAAATACGAAAAAGTGGAAACGAGAGAAGAAGATAGGGGGGCAAACAACCCATAACGTCACACGGACAACAATGTACACGGTATTGCTCGGCACTTCTCTTTGAGCCTTCCTCGCGGAGTTCTCCAAATCGGATTTTAAACTTTTAGGTCCCTAAAAATAGGTTTGAATGCTTTCTACGCTTGTATTGCATTACCGTCGTAGTAACAGCTGAATACTAAAGTACACAAATCTACTAAAAAAAAAGTATCCAACTTGCGACAAACTTTTCGAACTGCAATGACGCTGAAGAATCACGGTTCTATAAAGCGAAATTAATTGATAGATCAACGCATGAGAAACATATTATTATTGAGCACTTACAAAATTGCGGTACTTCGTTTAGTATTTGATTTAAAAACTTGGAGGTATTGTTATCGACAAACGCTGGACGAACAGATAGTGTTATTATTCCCACCAGACACAAGCGATCTCAGAGTTACTTAGTAAATCGACCGTCAACAACAGCTAATAGGATCTATGTGTATCCAATTTAAAACCTTGTCAAAACAGGCTATGGAAATTAATTTTCGTAAGTTTCCTGGCCACCTATATATTTGAAGCAACCAATCAAGAATCTCTGTTACTCATGAGTCCAAAACTACTTTTTTAATGCTCGCCGCATTTCTAATTACAAGGGGAAGGGCACAAATGTAGACTTACAGATTAGGAAAAAATGCTTTAAGGGTTAGCGGTTAAAGATAATGGTTGCACCGAAACTATTTGCAGATTGCAACTTTTACTTGGTATGCATTTATTACTCGATAAGGGGGATGACCGTGACAAAATATCGATAATTTGCAATTGCAAAAACAATTATAGATAGACGTAAAGGGTGCGAAGTTCTTTGTTCTCATCTACCTATTGATGCCGTTAATATGGTTATATTTCTCAAATCGAAACTGAATATTATGACAGCTGAGTCGCACGAGACCAGAACCGTTGAGGTGTCCCACCTCGATTTACTCACGAATATTGTTTTTTTCATTTTGTCATATCATCATTGTGGTAAAATTTTATTTCAGTCAGTGTAACTAAGCAACTTGTACGAACAGTGATCCGCCGTGAAGATTCTAAGTGTACTGAATAATTGGAAGCCAGCCATGAAATAGTTCTGTGTACTGCTGTATAAACTATGAAGGCTGCGAAGTTATACAGTACCTATACAAATACTGGAGATCTTGCGTACTATAGATCATCAGCTACTAGACGACGTCATCGTAAGAGTTGTGTGCTTATCTGTGTGCCTGTGGATCTTCTACCTTTGCTTCTACTATAGGGCCAGAATTCTAACAGTTTTACGTCAACTGATCCAACCCAGTTTACTTCATCGCCTCCCCCCTATTCCGTGTTCTGGCAGACCGCCACAACTATGCGCTGAAGTACTAACGAAGATCAAACGAAGGATCTATAACTATAAAATGTATATATAGCACTCAACTCAAGTAAGTCACGCTATAGGTGTACAAGTACGCGAGAGTGAGCGCGTGAGAGAGATAACGATTTGGAAGGCTACAATTATACTAGATAAAATCTAAACTGAAAAAAAAAAAAAGCTTAAAACGGTAGTTGCTATCAAGGACACAGTTATGGTAAATGCTTGAACAAAAATGAGAGAAGAGTGTTGATATTATTATATTCGTGTACATTATATCAATTTACTATGAGTTAATGTATTTGCTGGTTTCTATTGTAGCTCATCGTTAAATTCAACGATTGATTAAGACAGCTAGCCACATGTGGTATTATAGGACAAAAACCAAGCTGATCCTTTCCTTTACCTTGCTGTAGTGTAGTTCGGGCCTATTCTGGTATGTGGTGTACCCTGTTTCCTATATCATATCCCTTAAGATGGTACTTATGTGCGCCGATAGAAAGCAATGTACGGACTAGGAGGACTGCACTACGTCCGTTGAAAAGCGGAAACCTAATTGAATGGTCGATTCTGTGCTTCACGCGACCGTTTTATCTGATTGCTGATGATAAATAATAAAGAAATACAGCCTATATGCGTATATACGTAGTACAGCGTTAGACTTCTCTGAATAATATTCAAGCTAATTACACCCATGAAATTATGTGATTGAAAAAACTATTTATGTGAGTGCACCAAGCAAACGAAGACGCAAAGAAAACTATAAATCTAAAGTAACCTATGAAACGACTATAGTAACGGCTTAATTACAACTCAGATCAAAGTTACCACTGTCAATAACGAAGTGTTACAACACCGATATCAAACAAGACAGATGGAGATATGGATGCCTACACAACGGAGATACGTTCGCTGAGATGCACGGACTAAACCTTTGAAGGAGTGCAACAGGAGTATCAAGCGATCTATGAATCATATATATATATATGTTCGAGGATAGCAGTAGCGACCACATCAACAATAGGAAATAGCTCGCCAGGCAAACCGTTTGAAATCAACTATCCAGTTGCTTTTCTGGGTAACTACAAAATTTACGCTATTAATCATCAGAATAAAATCAACCATCGAGCGAGCACAATAAATTCATATCAATCAACCATCATCCGGTTAGCAATAGCACCACGATGTTTGTTGTTGGGCAATAGTCATCAAATGAACCATCACATCAGCAGCATTTCCAACTCTTTTATCAATAACTGGCTTCAGGTAACTAAATATAAAAGGCATAATAATAAATAGGAAGGAAGATCAATTGGCTATTTAATCGGACAACACGTCGAATAGGAAGGTTTTAAGGGAGTCTTGGTTGCACAAAGTAGGATTCGTTAAGAGCGTGTGGTGCACGCCAAGATGTGCCACACTCGTCGCCCACAGCCGCAACGAAGCAGATTTGTACGATACAATGCCAATCAAAGCAACACTGTTCTTCGTACAGATAGCAGACGCCAGGGCAGCAGTGTCCTAGAGGTTTTTGCTTGCTTGCTTGCTTGCTTTGGGAATATTGCTGTCGGAATGGGAAACAAACTGGGAGTTTTTGCTTGCACACGTTCGTATACCAATCCACTGTACACGCCTGCACACAGCGTTCTTCAGCTGTACTTACTGAGAATGCACTTGAGTGCTATAGCTGCTTGGGGCCGTCATCAGGGACGGATCGCCGACAGGAGTCATGCCATAAATGTACAATGGTTACAGCAACCTTGTTAAAAATATCCTGACTATCTTTGACAAAAAAAAAATCTATAGTATTTCGTCTATAACTAACTTATATAGTACGAAACTCATACAAGAATTACTCTCTTCGAAAGCAAGGAAAAGCGAAACAACCTTTCTTCAGTATATCAATAAGCAATCCAACATATTTCGCATGTTATCTTAAAATTACTCCCACATAATGAATCATTTGTAGCAACAAAACAATACATATGAATAGTAACTACGACCACATAACTGAAAAAAACGGGTTTTCCGGCCGGTTCTCGCAAAAGCCAAACTCGAAGGCATAGACAGTGCTATAGCCTTATCGATTTTGGACTTTCTGAACTAGAAGAATAACGATTACTAAGTGTGCTTGCTAATGCTATCAACGTTTGGGTCAAATCGGGCACACAGACACTAAGTATTTAGTTTGTCGAAGATCATATAAAGCTGTACGTAGTCTCTTAGTATATAATGATGGCTACAGCGTTTCAGTCTGTTTCTCAGTCTGTCTGCTACGATAGAAAATAATGAATCATTTAAGCAGAGTATTCGCTAGACATGAGCCTTTACATTGAAAAGAGAGAAGCCAATGTATCATATCACGAAAGAGCTTCAAAAAAAAAAACCCTCAAAACAAGTTGTGATTTTCATTAAAACATCAATAACCCAATATTAGAGAAAGTACGTTACTCACGTTTTACTTGCTCCGGTTCTAACGGTGGGTTGCATGAAAGACAAAGCTAACGTTATTATCATTGTTTGTCAAATTTTTCTGTGAAAGAAGTTACACGAGGCAACCTAAACGAAATCGATCCATCTAGCTCCGATAGTGCAGCCCATCGAAATATACGCAGATGTTTTTTACATTTATTTAAGAAAAAAAAAAAAAAAAAAAAGTATTAGACCACAATTCATCCGCAGGTTCGAACCACTGCCGCTAGACTTTCATCGAATGCTACTGTTTGCGAAAATTAGCTTCAAACCATCCTTTTCCCATGGAAAATTCCTATTTGATAGATTTCTGAATTTTAAGAAATCTAGCAAACATGCGTTACATCTGTCCCTGAAAATAAATTCGTTCGATTTGTGAGATGTTTTTGCCTGTAAATATCCTAAAATATATAGATCATCCTGGAACATTTCTTACGGCCGCATTGATTAATTGGTTAATTCATAATTGCTTAACCAGTAATGGCTGTAGTAATAATCGCTTGTTTTATTTTCATGGTTAGAAATAACTTGGTTTTCTTTTTTTTGATAAAGGATTGAAAATGACGAATATTCCCACAATCGCTGAAACGAAAAAAAGAATGTAATTTGTTTTATTAAATTAAAATGTTTTATGGAGTTTGGCAGTTACTGTATCATTCGTATTTAGCACGTAAATGGAAAATATCATCAAGAAACTATCTGAAATACCGAAGAAGCTTAGCGTTTGGATACGCGCTATTGTCGTATTTTGGGAAGGGTGAGTTGTTTCATAGCGAGAACTTTACGGCACATACAGTCCAAGATAATTACGTTAAATGTAAAAAGCCTCAAATCATCCGATCAAAAAATCAATCTTAAGAAAATATCTGCAAGGTAATGTTCTGCCTAATATCAGAAGGTCGATATTATGGAAAAGGTCTCAAAGACCTTTTCTACAAAGAAAAAAGTTTGTTTTAGGATTTCTAGGATGGTGTCACTAATGGACGCGCCTTGACTTTGGTGGCTAACTTCGCACTTTTTCCGTAAATTCAGTATACATCGTCGATGATCGATAATCGATCCTGTGACATACAACTTATGTTAAAATATCTACGAACGCGCAATGCGCTATGCATGTACGGTATCCTATTAAGCATGTATTGGAATGACGGTGACATCGCTTGCCGCAACGACTGCGTTCTATTCGAGTCTTGTTTTTTGTGACAGGTGGTAAACGGGACGCCTTTTCAATGAAAAGAAAGCTCCGGCCCAAATTTACACGATTTTGCAAATTATTATTGCTACATTTTTCTGACATTAATCATCGTTTTCAACACTGGTCCAAGCTGGTCTGAACAGAACCAGAAGACACCCCTTGCTAATTATCAGACACCTGCCAATTTTTTACCAACTATTTTTCAAAATGACGTAGTATAAAGCTTATAATGCAAAATAAATAAGACGTAGGAGAGCCACATGGCTTACGTTTTCATTGCTCGAGAATCGTTCATAGTAAATCAAGTCTGACCTAATGCAAAATTAGCTCATAGATCTAACTAGATGAACAGTTGTGAATCCGCAAATATATTCACATATCACCCTCTGCCAACAGTAAAGAAATGTCGGTGTTTATTATTTTCATTGTTGAATATATATCTATCCTTCAAGCATTGTTTAAATCATTACAAAAGTATAGAATTTAGGTAAATACTAAATAGAGCTGCTAGCACTTGTCCAAGATATTGTCACAGTTGTTTTGACGTAACCCAGCAGAAAAGCACGTCTATTGGAGGCGGACATCTTTTTGCTCAATTTTTAATGGCATCAAACGCGATAAAGAAATACATCTAGGATCCATCGATTTCTTGGTTGGTTTCTACTTTGCTTGAAGAACTTCAAACTGGGTTGCATATATGTGCACCTCAGCCCCGAATGAGAAGGTATTAAGTATAATAAAAATGAACTACTATTTTGAAAAGTTATGAAATAGCTCTCACTCGAAAAAACTATGTGCTCCTACACATTTTCATTCGAAGTCAAGTACTTCGTGTACTTCGGGGTGCTTGCTGCAATGGCACAAAGATAATGATAGCGAATCTAGACAACGAAGGCCGACACGCATCCGTTAGATGTGCACCCGTATGTTTTAGATGATGAACTGAAGACAGCTAGTTTTTTGTTCACGAAGACCTCCAGAGTATGACGCAAGGTAAAGTATCGCATGTTGAATTATTTAGGATAGCTCAATTTGGGTAAACGCTCCCAGAAGACGTTTCGGAGCGATTCGTGCTTTTTCAACGAACGGTTTCTATTTTTTTGCGGTAAAAGTCGTTTTCTTTTTTGAACCACAGTTTGAAACAGTAAATTACGCATAATGTTTTTGTTATCATCCCTAGCGCCTCGGTTGTTGTCGTTGCGCGTTTTACTCTCTGTACCTCAGGTTAGCAGGCCGTTGGCGTATCGTAACGTCATAAGTACGGATAAAGCTATTTGTGAAACGCAAATAAAATCCTGCCTCGCTACCTTGAAGTTCGCACGGCAACTACAGAACTTTGAAACAGTGAGGTAAAACTGACCCTGACTAGCTCTGGCCCCTATCTGCTTGAATCATTATCTATTTGACTGCAATGGAACAAGCTAATCGTGATCTACTACAGTTAACTGGCAATCATGTTAGCTAGCAAGAGAGGGTATTTGTCAGTGCCGAACAATTTTGTATATGCAATAAATGTATTATTAAATTTAGAAAATATAAACATTAGGAAAAAATTTAACTATTTCTCTACACAAAAGAGTTATGATCGCTTCGGCACTATACACGTTCAACAAATAGCTTAGAACATTGACAACTGAGAGATGAAGGTTCGATTGTCTACATCAGAACACGGACCTCGAGTATCTGGAATGTATTTTAACGACACATTCGTCCATATTGCTTTTTATCAAATACGTCTGTTGTAAAGCACAACTACTAACCTTGAAGCGTCGATAAAGTATATGATTAAAGATGCGATGCTCAGCAGAAATACAAGGACGACCTGAAAGATATAATTTACCAATGTTAATGGTAATGATGATACTGTATTCCCAAGTAGAGCCAGTAATTAATTTTTGAATGAATAAGAGTGTGGACAATCGCACTTCATTTGCTGAAGTTTTCGTATTGGACTAAAGCTCTCCAAATCGTATCGCGACGACATTTTGAATGCATTACAGGTCGACAGTGAGCGAGCGAGCGTAATTATGCCTTCGCTGCTCGAACAGAACTCCGAGATGGGCTAATACCACGCGCTTGAATAATTTGTAAAAAAATAGCCCATATTGGGGTCGAGCCCACGGCACCTATGTAAAAATAAAATTACATTAACTTTGTAACATGCACTTCGTGTGTATCTCGTTCAGTTTCTCGTTTAGATTCTCCCTTACTCAGAGCGCCTCTATTTTAAGCATTAAGAGATGTACCTAATAGAGAGTATAAAATGGATATCCAACCATCTCGTGAGGCACTAATATGAAAACTAGACATGAACGGCCTGTGAATCAAGTGCGGAGTCAAGATTCCTTCAACACCTTCCCTGCATACAAAATATGGTCGGCATCAGACGCTTCTAAGCTTCAAAGTTCTCCAAAAATCCGCGTAAAACAATTTTACTAGGATCTTCTTCAAAGGGAAGCGTCTCCACAGGAAGAAGAGGATAAGACGAAGCCATAGTGACCGAGCCGTAGTTACGAGGCCAAACGCATACATTTCGCGGCTCCCTTAATAATGTCCAATGGCAGCCTAAAACCAGAAGCTGTGAGACACTTTGGGGAATCGGCATGTTGTGCAAAATGTTGTGAAAATACCTTCAAGCACACAGATTAAATACATATATACATATATGCTTTGTTTCTTAAACTGCATCCAAGTAAAAACAAACATTTCAACGGTTTCCCTCGTATGCGCTCGGAGTGCTATTTTTGACACTCGTGTCCATTCAAGATAACCATAATTTACCGTAATCACAGTTTAAATTCGAAGCCTAGAAACTAATCATTTTTTAAAATATTTCCTCTTTTATTTGCAAATAACTTTCGCAAAGTAGCTGTGCATGAAGCGATGTCCGCAGATGTAAACTCGTCATATGGCGACCCACGTATGCTACATATGAAAGATTTCCAACATATTTAAATCTTGGGCTATAGCAAGACAAAAGTCCAAAAATCCAAAACGATAAAAATTACAGAAAGTACAAACACGTACAAAAAGTTTAATCGTTGGAGCTCATTTCGACGAGCCAATCAGCAACTAATTTTCCCCTAATTTCTCTCACTTTCATAGCAAATGCCTAGGCGTGTCAGTGAATCTTCGAGCCTTTAACACTTAGACTCTGAACGGTTTGCTTTTTTTTTTTTTTTTTTATCGATCTTTTTAGAATTCGCATAAAAAGACAATTTCGATTACAAACGGTTTTTAACGTTGATATCCGTTTTTCAGCGCGGAAAGATTAGACTATACATAATCTTCACTCCGTTCCGCCCACTCTTTCGTGTTAAAATGAATTAGTTTTCATTTAGCGCAAAGAGGCAAGTAAACGCATAGCCGTTACGAAAAAGAGCTCGCCAAAGTTTGCCCCAGTTCATACCCCGTTTCATGTATACAGCTGGCATTGTTAATCGATCAATAATAAAACTACTGAACGCGGTCTAGACTGTTTTTATTTTTACACACTTTTACCACTCTGGCAGCTTTTGGGCAGCTCTGTGCCTGCTATTTACGTTCACAGATGTAAACTATCTATGTTCTCGAGATACGTCGATAGTAGGATATATTCTCCCACCAGTTGCCTTTTTTTAAAGCCCCATAATTACATATATATTATACTTATATTATTTACAAGGCTTATATTATAAACAAGCACGTTGAAGCTCAATTCAGGAAGAAATTGAGGTATGCCGGTGAGGTCTAACGCTTCCATCAAATAGCGAGATTGCGTGCTCCTAATTCCAGTATGAATGGTCACTAGGTCTTTTGAAGAACTCAAGATATCGGAATGCATTAATCGTTTCATTTCCTGCTAGTACCTCATAATAGCAGATGCCTTCGATATCTATTGCAGATACTACCATTACCTTATGCCCAAACTTACTCGACACTGCCACTGAACCTGATTCTCTTCAGGGCGACGTTACGGAAAGTTACGCAGACTGTACGTGGAGTACGATACAGTCTCGACAACTGGTCACCTCCTCATTAGTCTTCAACACTCTAATATACACTCTTAAATTTGCCTAAAGCGTCTTTGCCTGATGCCTTCCTTCATCGATATTCGACGAATTTTCGCGGCGCGTTGGCCTTTAAAAAACGAAACCTTTTACGCGCTACAGCGGTTTTTGGGACCAAACGACGAACTCATTTTTCCTTAAGTAAAATCAAGCAGTTTCATAAACACATTTTTGAGAGACTGGGATCCTTATTCGAGTTTTGTCCGCTGGTATAATTCAAAAGTTCACTCACAATTTCAAGCTTTTGCAGATTCGCTTAGAACAGCTTAATATACTTGTATAATACCACGCTATAAGTGCACTACAGGTTATAATATTATAGTTGTGTATGTTCTAAATGCAATTGTATCTTATATGTGGGTTCGCGTAAACATTGAGCCAAATATTTGCTCCACGTTATGTATATATATATATATATATATATATATATATATATATATATATATATGAATTAGGATCTGTTCCCATTTTGGAAAAAGTCGTGCGTGAATTATTTGATCTTGATCTAAGTTCTCATTAAATTGAGCTACAGAAGCAGAGCTGTTATGGAAATAAAAAAACCCACTCTGCATGACCGTGCTTTTACCAACTGTGATCAGCTTTGCACTACGATACACATTCCGCTTGGTTTCTCTGGAAGCATCAGCCCCAATATTTAGTAACGATGACATTTTACCTTTCCTGACATGTAACAATTATAAATATTAGAATTCAGTTTACAAAAATGTTTGTTTGTGCTTCGGGCCATAAAGTATATGATGCGGTTGATACTAGAAGTTCGTGTAGCACTACACGAATACTTCTTCAAGAATCTTGAGGTAAACACTTTTGCCCTCACCGTATCAAAATCAGCCATAGAGTAACTTGTTTCAAAAGGTCATCCATTAAGTACAATTTATGATGCTTTCATACATATGACGATTTCTGACAATTAAGTGTGATATTATAGGTTAAATATTCTGAATAACTTTTGAATTTCGTACCATAATAAACGAAATTATGAATGATAATCATATTAAATCTATATATAATGTATCTATATTTAGAATATAAGCTGTTTGACTGTTACTGCTGATTAAAGATACATCGTTTAGCTGAAAATTGGCGTTTAATAAGTCAACTTGCGGTTTCTTAAAAATGAAGGCGTCGGCGAAATCCCAAGGAAAAACATCTCTAACAAGACACTTCCTTGGTCAATCTTACCTTCGACGAAGCTATTGGAACATCTCCAAGAGTTTTTGCGTCTTCGTGATAGCGCCTTCTTTGCCTACGTTACTTGAGAACCCATGAGAGAATCTTGTTTTTAAATCTGTCATAGACACACCGTCTAAAGCTATGGCTAATGCACGTATTAAACTTAAAACTCAAACACAAGATTTAAATCTAATTTTTACTTTGATGGTTTTAGGTACTGGGGCATATAGCAGAAAATATAGGTAGCATCAGTCGAATTCCTGGACAGCCGCAAGGCTTCTGGCCAAATGCCTGAAAAACGTTTACGTAACTGACTCTTAGTTGTCCCTTTATGGTAAGTTTCGCTAGCTTTATGTAGTCGTGCCGAATCTATCAGGGGCTCAGTGGCAGTCAAAAACTGCTAAAAAAAAGAAGGGATTCCTACATGAACCGTCTTTCCTGGTTTTCGGATTTTTACTGGATACAGTGGCCTTTGTTATAATAAAGCTGCACTTAAAAATCTGGTCGTATTCGGCAAGTTTTGCTCTTTGTTGATGAAGTTAACTGGCTTATCTAACGTAGCAGTTTTGTGATAACCAGTTATGATAGTTCGCCATGTAGTAGCCTTAGACATTTTTATCTGATAAACTAAACGATTACTTTTTTAGATAAATCAGCTTTCTGTCTAATTTTGTGCCTTTACACCACACGTCTTATCTGAATAACTTTAGGTGTACGCAATCGAAACGTACATTAGTATGGAATGAGCCCAAGGTCTGGATTGCGTTTCATTCTTCGCAAGCAATCAAAAGCTAGCAGATGGATTAGCAATGAACGTAGTAGCGTTTGCGACGACAAAATACGTTTGTTTTTCGTGAGAACTTATTATTCAATTGGAGGGTCCATTACGGTAGTGTCTGCGTGTGCCGCATAGAATACGGATGACGTTTTCCGTTGACGGGGGCAAGACTAAGGCGATTAATCAAGAATTTGAAGCGACCGGTTCACTCACACGCAAAGAGGGCCAATTGAAGGGCACCTTGCGAACTATTTGAAAGCAAGAGATGCAGTTTCATTCTTACAGGATATAGTAAACTTGACAATTATCTTGAGGATTATCACAAGTCGTTGATTCGATGACCGCATATTATCACGCAAGGCACGTACTAGTGACTTCTTCGGCACGGTCCCATAGTAACTACGAATTGTTTTGATGACTTCCTTCATTTTGTTGAAACTGGGCTGATATGAAAAATTTTCCAACTGAGCGAACGATTTTGCAAGAGCAGCCGTAAATAACTTGATATTCGTGTATGTAATCTAGTTATATTGAAGTGTAGCTTACAGTTATTGCATAAACTGAAATTCAACAGATTAGAAGCACCGGACGTTAATGGGCCGCAACAAGTATCGAAGTTGATGCCACATTGATTAGCGGGACACAAAAAGATCAAGCATTTCGATACCGCTTACCGACCCGATGGGCGCTATACTCTCTCTATATATACAAACCGCTTTATTTGAATGTCTAAAAATAATTCAAAGGTGTGAAGGACCTTTTATATATATATATAATCTGATACAACTATTTTATTTTTCGATAGTAATTAAGAGAGCAAATATTAAATAACTGCACATATTTATATTAAAAGTGAAAGATGAAGTATACAGTTCACAGACAAATTGTGCACAAGGTATAAAAAAAAGTCAAAACATTAATCACTTACTAAGTTTTTCTCTTTAATGGACAAAATAAGAAGACTGTATGACAAAGTGTGTTGTGAGAAGCGTCTACGTAGCTGTGCAATGATAACGCGTTGTACAAAAGAGCTTTAGAGTAGCGTTTGAATTTTAAGACGTAAGGTCTACTATAAGCTTTGAGAGATATGCAGTTCCAAAGATCTTATTTCTCAGTATTTCATATTTACACTACCACTTAAATAGCAGGCGAGCAAAGCTGAGCAGTGACGAGATGTCATAGGTATATGTTCTATATAATAGCATATGTTACCCGATAGATGCGATTAAATAAAGAGACATGTCATGCAATGTTCAGTTTCTTAGATCGAAGCTATCATCGCCTGTAAGGCAAACAACTAAGGCCAACTACAAGGCAGAAGCTGAGCACTTTTTGAGAAGGCTCTTTCAGATATGGCTGTTTTCACCGTCATGACTCCACAACTGTTTGTTTTACTAACCATCGTGATATTCATCTGACGGTATTTATTGCTTCTTAGATCAGAACAGAAAGATAAGGTTCGTAAAGGTGTTTGCAATCTTTTGCTTGGAACTGAAGTATCTAAAGAACACTTAATTTCGTATCTAGGAGCAGTGGAGTATTGGTATAGTAATGCTTCTACTAAGAATAATGATAATAATGCATTACTTACAAGTATGCGTCCGGTGGTTGTTTGTCCCGAGATGAGTCCTCCGGCCCAATCCTTTGCCTCTGTCATAAGCCCAATCTCGGTGGCACCTTCCCCTGGCGCCTTGCGCTGACTCGCACCTTGCCCACCCGCCGCCTCCTGCGCTGCCTGGGCTGCCGCCTTAGCTTGGGCGGCTTTTCCCGCGGCGCTGGCTTTGCGTTTACGCGAGCAGCAGAGGAAGGCGAACGCACGCCAGATCAGGATAATGAAGAGACCGGCTAGGAACGTGAAGATTGACGACAGCAGGAAGCAGTACCATTTTCGCGTCTTCAGGCACTCTTCCTGTGGGCTGATGGTTGTAGTGACAGCGGGAAGGTCGCCAAGACCATCCGTGTTTGACGCATTTGACACTCCCAGCTCCTCCGACAGCGACATCCTGATAGCGATTTTGTTTAACCTGTACACGTATCTGAGCTTGTAGTTGTTTGCGTCGACTGGCTTTGCGAAATCTCCAACGACGTAGTCTTGTCGGTCGGAATACTTTCAGTGCCTTTAGATGAGCACTCTTTACCGGGGATATTTGCACTCCGACGGCTCGTGACTGTTGATCGAATAGAAAATAAGCTTTGATGTGGTATGACTTTGTTGGTGTCTTTCTTCTAGACTCTGTAATAGTAGATAGTGTTGCAGATATAAGGGCAGATGTATTACATGCCCGGAATCGTGGCAGGGGTAGAAGTTTTGAAGTCGATGGTAGGTGAAACAATATGCGACTACCTCCGCCGTCTCTCCTTAGGGCCCGTCGCACCTCTGGCCAAAAACAAAGCAACACCGGGTACTGCACGACTGCTGTCCGTGAAACGGCGCCGACAAGACTGAAAGGTGAAATGATATCGGGAACAGCCCCGGTTTTACGCACAGCTCTTTGGCTATTTTTACAAGGTTATGTATTTTCCGTCCGAGTAAAAAAGTCAGTTGGAAAAGCCGTTTGATCCGACACTGTGTGACAATTTTGATCGGTCTGCAGATTAGTATGCCTGGAAAGAAATGTGTGCCTGGACAAAACCGGAGTTGTTCGGAAGATGTCGTTTGGATGAAGGAGGCACTACGCGTTAACAGCGTACGGAGGAGCTGGAAGATAGTGCCCGCTCGTTGAAATTGCTCTAAATGAGGGCTTGCGATTCAGTTTTACCAATATATATATATATATATATATATATATATATATATATATATGTGTGTATATATATATATATATATATATATATACATATATATATATATACGAGTTAAATCCTTTGCACTCGTTCCTTAAGGTCCTCCACTTATTGATTCTTTAACTTGTCAATATTTCACAATTAGCTACAAAGGCCAAGTAGTTGTTTCTTGGGTTGCTTATATATACTGGTCTTGCTCCCTTGAATCACATACGTCCAATCGGCAAAACAAAGAAGCAGTTCACTTCTCACACTCACTTTGTACTAACTTTGTTATTGGTTAATTAAAGACTTGCCGCGTAGTAGCATGGCTTACTTTTGCGTCTATACACGTCGTCTGTTATTTGTTGGGACCTGATTGATAAGACGATGTTTCTTTCTACTGGCGCCTTCTAATGTTGTGCTGTGACTGGAGTTGGCCTTCTGAGGATAGTGGATCAGACGATACTGATATTTTACTTGTGGCACCTTCTTCGTTCTGTTCAGTGGCTCTAATTGACGTTGATCTCACTATATTGACTCGAGGGTATCTTGTATGTTGAGATCTGTACTTTTCCCTTGATCTTTGCAGGGTGACTTAGTTGAGCATAAGGAAAAAGATCTATTTCGAATTGTCCTTCTCGCGTTGGCAACAGTGTCTCAATTGCGAGTTTGCTTCTAATTATATATTGAGCACCTCCGTTTGACGTTATTTGTGCAGACGAACAATCTTTTGCTGCGCTGGTAAATTGGACTTCAGTTGGCTTTCGTTGGTTTTCGCTTGATCTATAAATTGTCGACGCTTCACAGACTCTTTCAAGAGCTTGAGATTGGAAAGATGAATGATGCTTTTGTTTGTGTTGTTCTTGTTGTTGTTGCTGACAGGCTTGATAATGACGTAGCTGTTTCAGATGCGCTCCATAAATCTCTGGGAGCTGTTGTTGTTGTGTTTGTTGTTGCTGTTGTTGTGACACAGCTGGCAAGTGGTCGCTAGTTGATCTTAGTAGTATGTTGTTTTGTTTTGTAACTCGAATTTTAAAACGCTCGCTGTGGACGTTGATGTTCTTACCGTTATAAAAAGACGCTGAGGTTATTGATACCGGTGGATAATTTGTATACCTAGAAGGAATTAACTGCTGAACTGGTTTTAGTCCGCAGTCGATAGTAGCAGTGTTTTTCAATATTGAGTCTTGGATGCCAAGCTTATAGTGCACAGTAAAATCGCGGCACCGTGTTTTTGCTGCACGAGCTGGAAATATAGGTATTCTATTCAGAAGAGGATTTGTGGATTGGCAGATTAACTTATGAGAGCTAGAGAGTTTGGCGAAGGACTGATGTACTCGCCGACATGTTATGTTGTAGCTCTGGCTATTGAAAAAGGCACCTGGAGGTCGCGCGTCCCGCTCAGTTCGTGAGATACAACAAAAACAACGACGATGGCGACGACAACGCCTAATGTCTGTCACTTTGAAGTCTTGCTCGTTTTCTAAATGACAAAACACGTTGGTTGGCCTTAGTCGTACAGACTTAATCCTGTGTTGTTGTTGTTGTTGTTGTTGTTGCTCTCGTTGATGATCCAGTTGCGACTGTGCTTTTTTGGGTATTCGACAGACGCTTTTCCTTGTATGCTTGTGTTGTGACGCAAACGAGCTAAGCAATCCACTTTGTAACGGTGCGAGACCGTCCCTGGGGGCTACTATTAGCGTCACCCGCAGAAAAAGTTGTAGATGGAGTTGTTGCTGCGGGTTGTGGCGTTGATAATGGTGACGACGGCGACGGCGACGACGACACCGTCGCCTACTATTAGGCGGCGGACAGCGTCGTCTGCGAGCGCGCGGACGTACTCCTCGCCGCGCTGGCGGCACGGGCCTACGGTGCCCAGCCGCCGGCTGCGTATGAGTTACGCACCCCCTGTTTGTTGCTGATACGGCTGGTGATCCCCTGCAACAAGCTGGCTCTCTATGGAAAAAATCACCAAAGTCCTCGAAGCTTGCCTTTGCTACTGTTTTTCGAAGTATCTTATTGTGGAAGTGGTAGGCAACAACGATAGCTTGTTGTTTGATTATAGCGCGTCTTAATATGAAGATTAATATTTGAGTCCTAGATATTAGCTGTTTCTGTTGTAGTAGTTGTGAAGTGCGTGTGGGTAGATAAAAGGCCGCTCCGGCGGCCATCATCCGCCCGAGCAGCCGGAAGGAATGAGCGCGGCCTCTTGCCCCACTGCTGCCACTGTGCGACGATCCTTTTGCTTAGCGTTTGTTTTACGTTGCTCTCGAACGTACATGCATACACATGACGCCCAACAAACAGTTGGAGTATTTTGGCCAAGTTGTAAAGGTCGGCTAGACTCTGTTTACTATTTTATATGACTAGCTTGTGTTGTCATCTCTAACAGAGATATGATGAACAATCCGATACGGGCTGGTGGGACTCTTTTGTAGACGACAGCGTATAGCATTCGACAGGTCCTTTTTGTGTGTGCGCGTTAGGTAGTCTACAGAAAAGCCTGCGGACGGCAAATCATTAGCCGTGACCAGTCTCGATCGCATGTATAGGTAATGATCAATTTAAGGGATTGTGAACCCGTCGCAGCGATCATTGTTGTGTTTAGTGACCTATTCACAACGGAGTGCGTTGTGGCTTTCAGCTGAACGAACGTTGCCTAAGCAGCAATCCGCGATTACGCTTGAAGCTGAACTATTAGACTTTTAGGGATGAAGCCACGACCGGCATCTAGTTTTAATAGCTGAGTTATAGAAGGATGTCTTGAATAGGCTGTTACGAACAATATCTGAATGGCTTTCCATATAAAGTTGTGCTATAATTTTTTTTTTATTTAGTAGCTAACTCCTCAAAAGGCTGTGACAATTGTGTCGTCCATTCTTTCCAGGCTAAACAAGGCTTACTGTGCTCCCAATACGATGACAGTCGTAGTTAGTCACAACCAAACAAAGCCGTTTTCGACGGCTGATCTGGGATGTTTGTCGCTCACAGTGGCACCCGTGGTAACTCTAAGTGACGCTCACGAAAACTGGCTGTACATTTAGGAAAAGCTTGTGACGGCACAAGGTTCACATCCTGCAAAAAGGATAGTGTCTACTTAAGTCTATTCAAACGGTTCCTCTAGTCCGTTTATACAGGCAAAATTGTACTTCACAGCATGGCCCCTAGACAAGTCGTCACGCAGTTTTGCTTAGTAGCAGAAACCGCTACAACTGGCTTGAAACACTGAATAAGATGGTGGATGTTTTCGTCATATCTGAAAACGACTGATCGAGTGACCGTTAGTCATTATCAGATGGGCTGTTTCTCCTAATTGTATCTGCCGCTTAGAGTGGGCTCCTCATTGTGTTTTAACTAGCACCAATTTCATACGCCTTTTCCACTTCCTCATTTCTCGACCTGTTGTTTATTTGCCCACTTGCTGCTAGTAGACAGTAATCGCTCTATAGCCAGCTTGGGGCAGCCATGACGAAATTGCGGCCGATTGCTCCTAGGGATACCGTCCTGTGTTCGCACTATAAGCGTTAGTGATCTTAGTCGTGAATTTTGTTGTGGTTGTTGTCGACGCCGATGTTGTTCTACGTTCATGACGATGCCAGCGCCTGTACGAGGAGCTGACTAATTGTTTTTCTTTGATCGTTCAATACATTCGTTGCGATTCTTCAGTCCGGCATTATATGAGGAAAGCACAAAGTACTCTATTGTCATTGATGCGCAGGATCTATCGAAGTGCAAATATGTCGTTCTTTTGGCAGACCTGTCTTCTCTTCTCCTCAGTGCGAGGAAACAGAAGTTCCTTGTAGCGGGTGGGGAAAGGGTCGTATGCTTGCAGTGCTTCTCGCAGCTTGGCGTTGTCCTTCTGGTACGTCGCCTTTATCATTACCATTATTAGTATTAATATAAATACTATATCTGACGGGTAATGGGTGGCCTGCGCATTGCAACAGTCACCAGTTCGTCGCTCGCTCATCAATTCGGTTGACTTGACTAAATTTCCCTTTTTTAGTTTGTGCTGATCTTTTATCACTGCATCAATCCTTATTTAGCAGCAGTCTGCGTATAAAGATGATGGGTAAGCTAGGATATGGCACTAATTTGTTTCGTGGCCCAAGGGTAAATATATGTAGATGCTTTTCGTAGAATAGTAGTGTTTTACCGGCGGCGGCGGCGGCGGCAGCAGCAGTAGTAGTTCAGTAGTCCTTTTACTATGCGTGGAATTAAATAAGCGTGCGTCGTTCGTCTCTTCAGTGTCTACTGAAAAGGTACAAGTGAGCCTTGTCGAATATACTCTGACCTAGTTGCAGTGGTTAAGTCCAACGCCTGTGCGATAACGTATCCATATCGGGATAACCAATAAATGAATCACCGGTATTTATTATTATTCGTATTTGTACTGAACTTGAGTAGTGTGTGTATTGATAGCTTCAAATGACCATTCGGCCTATATCAACTGACCACTTTCTATTGCACTCTATTTGCAGACCGATTGAGGGAAAGCTCTACACCTATGCTAAATGCTCTGTAGCAGAACCAGAACGCAATTCGCAGTAACAAATTTCGCCTGCACACATATACACCGGCGTGTACGGGCTTTCTCCTACCCTATTCTTTTCACTTGATTGCTTACTCCTACTGTTATCACCGCTCTTGGCGATAGTGACGTTGATTGAGTATGGCGATCTTTCCGGAGAAATGGACAGAGGAATGGATAATGCAGGGTAATGCAGGAACTAGCAGCTGGACACGGCACTCTGCTACTCGTGCTGCTGCTGCTGCTGCTGTTACCGCTGTAAATATTTGCCGAAGCTGATTCGCAGTCTGAAGCGTTCGTAACCTGCCAATGCTTGTGGCAGTATTCGCCAAAAATCGAAGACGAGCAGGCTACTGGTCTTCGACAAGTCTTCCAATACTCGATTGATTCGAAAGTTAACGTGATAGCACTGATATTGTATTTTTTGCCGACTTCATTTCAACCGCTAGATGGGTT